GTCGCGGGTATGTCGCGTTGCGTCGCGTTGCATCGTCATTACGTCGAATACCTCCAAGTGCCTTAAATCTGCGACACTCGTCGATGTGGCGCGCGAGCAACGAATCCGAGATGCATTTCATATGTCTATGTTTTTTTTGTTTGAAGCCATTGATATTGAATGAAAATGGAGCGACACGAAAAGAGCCAGCGGCTCTCACACGCCAACTCGGCGGACCAAGTATCCTGTATTCGCGTATCGTCGCGGGATTTGCCGCGGCGACTCTTTTCTAGGACGGTTCGAATCGTTTCGAGACACTCTCGAATCGTCGACAATTTGCGGCGACGATTGAGCCGCGAGTTGCTTTTTTGTTAACAAGTTTAAGGATGAATTATTAAAGTTGAAGGCACGAGCCGCACGTACGCAAAACCAGAGACAAATTAATTGAGGGATTAACGCGGCTTATAATAATATTTCAGCGGGCGAGTGTCGCCGATAAGAAGAATTCGTGTAAAACATAAACGAAAATTAATACGCTCGCGCCATACGATATTCCGTCTTGCCTTCCGCGAATTCCCCACCCTGACACTTGAAACTTAAATGTGTCCTCGCACTTATCTCGAGGCTGATACAAACACGTAAATCCCGATAGCATCTCTGCGAGGACGCCATTCCTCGCGCACAAAGTGATGGCAATTCGCCGAGGTGTCGCTCTAATAGCGAATTCGGTTCCACGCACTGGTGCAGCGGTATCGAGGCTCGTTTATAGTCAATTCTTACGTTTAACTTTATCTCAAATACACCTTAGAAAAGTATCCAGCCAAAAATATGATCCGTGCGGATGCTGTACAGGTCATTTTACTGGCTAAGTTTCAAATACTACATATACTTTTCTATCGCTGTATAAGAATCGACTGTAAACAAGCCTCAGCCATGCACTCGGTGCGCAACCGAATTCGCCACAAGTTTCCTTAAGGCCTGTGTCCACGATGCTCGAACTCGGTCCAAGTTCTAGTTTCGAGAAATGTGTAGCCAATCACCGTGCAGCCGTTCCATAAAAGCTGCAAGTTGATTGGCCACAACATCTCTCGGAACTAGAACCAAGTTCTAGCATCGTGGACGCAGGCCTTTAGAAAGTATTCACTTCGTTTCAATCGCTCAAGTTATAGATCCGTCGATGAGGTGCGGAAATCCAGAAATATATATGTATATATATGTGTATATATAATATATGTATATAAACACGCACATGCTGGATGGCCGAAGGCTCCCGTAAGGAACAGCGCGAGTGAAAGGCGCCGATAGATAATCGGCGGCGTTGTAAGGTCTTATCGGATCACGCACTTGGGAGATCGAGTATTGCGAATCGGAGATTAGAAATCGATCGCAACGAAACGGATCGAAATGAAACCTTGGCCGATTCTAATCCTCGGCTCCGATTCGATCCTCGAGCTCCGCTCGCCGCGGTCTGGAGACGCCAGGACCTCTCGGTGAGGGGACCGGCGTTTAAAAAGTTGGCGTATGTGCACGACTGTCGCCGCGTATATAGTACACACGTATATACCGCTCGCGTGGGAGCGGGTATTTAAAGCGCGGCGCAATTACGTTGCTATTTTATTTCCTCGCGTGATATAACGAAACTCGGCGCGGCGGAGAGGTCAACATCACGTCTCTCTGTTTCTTTCCGACCGCTCTTTGTGTTTACAACGCCGTTGTTACGTACCAATGTATATACACGCGTCCGTGTGTTTGATCAATCGCTCCCTGGTACCCCGCTCGACGTTCTCCACCGGGGTTGCACTCGGTATCGCTGGCCCACGTAAGGGCTTCAACAAGAACGGCCGATTTGTGTTTTCAAGATAACGTTTATAAACGATAGATCTACCGATTTAATGACTGGAGGAAATCTTACAGGTCGCCAGAAGTAATTAAAAACTTGAGAAGATTTGAGAAGAACTTGACCATGTCCGGCAAATTTTTATGTTTCAACTCACAACGTTCCGACCATGGTTTGTCGTCCTTTTCAAGCGATAGTTGTGTCAGTAAATCCGTATGGTAAATTAAAAGAACTCATCTTAATCTCACGAACGACAGAACATGACTGGATTTAATTTTGACCATGGTTTGTCGTCCCTTTCAAGCGATAGTTGTGTCAGTAAATTCGTATGGTAAATTAAAAGAACTCGTCTTAGTCTCACGAACGACAGAACATGACTGGATTTAAGTTTGATTGTACGGAGGATGGCACAAGAAAGACTTCTACGATTTGGATTATTAAGTGAATATTGTAGATGATGGGACAAAACTAACTTTTCACTCTCGCTGCTCTTACGTCATTTTACTTTTGAGATTTGTGAGTCTAATTTGTATATAGTTTAATGTTTAGATAGTATTTATAAGAGCCACCTGTTATTAATAGTCGTACTGAAAAACTGTTACTTTCATACACGGAGAGAATTTCTTCTTAAAATTTACCTGAATATTATGTGATTGTGGGGCACATTTTGAAAAATTTTATAAGAGTTGAAATTTTATTATACATTCTACTAGTATAAAAATTAAGATTTTTTATGGTAAAATTTTTAGAGTTTTTTACCATACATTTTACAGCAAGAGTGTGGAAAAATATTATACATTTCACTAGTAAAATAAAGTTTTTTAAACTTTACCATACATTTTACAGTAAAATGTGAAAAAATTTCAAAAACTCTCATAAAATTCTTCAAAATGCCCACGTTGTCCTACGATTTCATGATTTTCAGAGGAAATTTTAAGAGAAAATTATCTCCGTGCAGATAATAAATATATACATTTATTCGTCGCAAACGTTTTCGTATACGTGTTTAAAATTTGAGACGCAAAACAGTTATTGTATTTTATAAGACAAAGACTCGGAGCATGAAATATCATCGCAAACGACGGCCATTGTGTAAAGACTCCAACAATAAGAGCGTATCGAGACCCAGGCACGTAGTGGAAATTCTCGAGACAAATTCCGACCAGAGTCACTCCATTTCTCCTCGAAAACGCAACGTGAAAATGTCGAAAATACTTGCAAAAATTTCGAGTTTCGCGCGGAGTACATTCCGAAAAGTTCCGCAACACGTGGCCTGATTTTCCGTCTAGCTCCGCGTCTCGAGTCGCAGCAGATTTAAATCGTTCGCCTTCAGCGCGATCGCGAACAAATATAGGTAGAGGAAAGTCCTTTATTCTGAGATAGTAGGTTTTCAACGTTCAAATTCAATCACAAATCTTTGTTTTTCGCAAACGATTACGCGATCTGACAATCAATTTTCCACTAAGCGCACTTCTACTCCAAGTGCAGTAAATTCATGGTGGAACCGACCGACGATGTCTAAGTAATTTAGCAGAAAGTCCGCTGTCTCGTAATAGGGGACTTTCCTCTACGTGTACGCGCGAGAAGCGGGAGATCTTCGCGAGTCGCCTCCTCGGGATTAAGCGGCGATGAATCTCGCCCGGAGTGTCGCGACACGTCACCTTGGGTATCGCGCGGAGAAGAGGATCCTGTACGTCGTCCTCACCCGAAAGATCCCGACGACCCGCGACCTACGCTTTCGCAGGAGTCACGCAAACATCGAGTCACCTGCCAGTGGAAGAAATCTAGGTGGATAACGGGTCGCGCGCGGCGATATCGCTGATAAGCGGCGCGATATCAACAGGTCCGCTGTCGCGTAGCGTCGCGCCGCGCCGCGTCGTGTCACCGTCACGTCGCGTCGCGTCCGCGCGTCACGTAGCCGCGGCGGGCACAAAGCGAGAAGGTAAACGCGCTCCGAGTCCGCGCCTTCGCTGGGCCCCGCGGACCGCGCCGCGTATTTACCTGGCTGGTGCGGGACGAAGACGCGGTCTCCCCCAAGGTTCCGCCTTGAAAATTCCACCGCTGCTGCCGCCGCTGGCGGTGTGCACCACCGTACCCGGCACTGTTGCGGCACCGCTCGGTACCACCTCACCAATGCGCGCCGAGAGTCTCGCGCGGCTTCGCCGCCGCCGCCGCCGCTTTTGCGCTTGCTCGTCGCCGTGCAACCGAACGCCGATCCGCCGCGCCGAGCGTGCGCTCGGCGCGCATATCCAGGCGCATCAGACGCGAGAAAATGCCCGACGAGCGTCCGTACGCGTCGCGAGCGAGAAACAGACGCGATGGAGCGCGGAGTGAGGCGGAACACGGCGCGAAGAGAAAACCCAAACTCGATCCTCGCCGCACGCGTCGTCCCGCGGCACTGCACTGCACAGTGCACAGGGGAAAAATCGTGCTGCACCGCGCGCACCGCCGGAGGAATGACGTTTTAAGTCGGGCGTGCTCGTCGACCCGTCGGCCGTCGGTACTGTCGGGCACGGTCTTACAAACAGGTCTGAGAGCGACGGTGTGGTGGGGTTGTCTCTCTTGACATTCTCGTTTTTACTTCAATTCTCAGCCGCGAGGTTCGCTGTGGTAGACGGATATCATGTGCGAGACAGAGACGGAAGTAGCATAAATCAATCCTATCAGAGAGAAGCCATAGAGTGCAAACTCATAGAGCGGAACGGTGTATGTACATACATACACGCACCGGCATAAATGCTGTCCCTATCCTTGTGAGGTGCACGCACACAACTACAGGGACTCTAGGACAGCATTTATGCCGGTGCGTGTACGTGGAAAATCACGGAACGAGAGTCCTGGCCAATTACGAGCGTTCCGCTGTTTTCGCGAGAAACCAAGAGAAATTAAAAATTTCACCGTAGCTGCTTTCGCGAGATCAAAATGATCCGGATTAAAATGACCCTGTGCTATGATTGGTCAAATCTGGAATTTCATTGAATAAAATTTCAATGCGATGCTACGAAATTTCAGATTTGACCAATCATAGCACAGGGTCATTTTAATCCATATCATTTTGATCCTCTCGCGAAAGCAGCCCAGAGAACGCGACCAAAATTTCACAAATCTGCATTACCCACTCGGCAAAATGTCAACACTGGCTACGTAGTTCGTGTCCACGTTTCTTTCCAATGTCCACAGAGGGCGTATCGGACTCGCCAATCGCGAAAAGCGGGGCCGTGGCAGCTCTCAGGCTTCTTACTGTTTTCTGTTCAACCTAACTTTTTATCTTTCTCGGGGTAAAAATATAATAAAAGATTCGTAACTGCCGAACTCGAGAAAGATGCCTGTGCGAATAACCCAGAAGCACGTCGAATTGGCGACGAAGTGGTGAGTCCTCCGGTATTTCTAGAGTATATTTAGACGTCGCGGCACGGTTTAATTAATGACGGGAGCAAATTCGATGGCTCACTAGTATCATTTCTACCGTAGCAAGTGACAGCGTGAAACGAGCGTAATAACGAGGACCGTTTAATTTTTGCAATATTTTCACGCACGCCTCTTTCGTATTGAAACCTGCATTTTCACGGACATACTCGTTTTTACGACGCAAACAAAATCTTTCGCGCTGCATCGCGTACCCGGTACTTTCTCCAAGTTGTCGAGCGATTCCTTGCGTTCTAGGACTCCGACCGCAATGGCCTATGGAACGGGTGCCTGGTTAGCACTGTTGTACTTCACGGACTGGAAAGTGGTCGTGCGACACATTCCATTCTACGGCAGCAAGTTTCCGGCAGAAGAGGAATAGGCTACGGGGTTCCTCGACAAGATTATGTAATAGTCTCGTTGGAACGATAGAGACTCTATTGTACCATACTACATTTGTTCTGCTTATTTAAATTATAAGGTATTAATAAAGAAACTTATGTAATATCGATAACGGCGTGTGTGTGAAATTGATGAGCCCGAGCTTAATCCTCGCTCTGTTGCAAGGCCCTTTTCTTGCGCTGCTCGTAAACCAAGTTCGCGAATTCCTCCGCGCGTGCTGCCTTCCGTCGTATGAGCCATGGCCGCACGTAAAATCTGCGAGGAAAAAGGAAATCGTGTCATCCGACGTGTGCCTGCTTCAGCCACGCCGTTTGATGTTTCATAAAAAAACAACGAGACATGCTTACACGCAACCCGCCACGAACAGGCCTACGCCAAGTGACAGGAGCCCAAACCGCCCGTACTTGCTAGCTCGCAGACTTTGGGCTTTCGTTATCAGACTGTAAAAATGTTAAAATATATTTTAAATAAGGTATAATGCCAGTCACACCAAAAACCTGCCCGCAATCAAATTTATCTTCAGCAACTAGTTCAAGGACAAAGAAATAATAAACTGCAATACATTTTATTACCATCTTTTTTCCGGTTAGATATGTAAACCAATTGAACTTTCAATTCTCCCTCGACGCAACTGGCATTATTTTATTAATCTTAAATAATATACAACGTTTCGACCGTACGGATTGCGGTCCTCTTCAGGCACAAATCTGCAAAGTACACCAATACGTACATCAATATGACTATAAAACACACTGAAATCAATCTGATACGGTATATTGGATATATTTATTGTGAGTTTTCTTTGGAAGTGTATATTCTATCAAGGATAAGTTACTTTTTTAAAAGTATCCGGTTACAGTTTTTTCGCTAAAAATGTAACTAATTACAGTTACAAGTTACCAGTTCTAAAAAGTAACGCGTTACAGTTACTAAAAAAAGTAGCGAATCGTTACTTTGCAGTTACTTTCTTGCAACAAAAATAAAAAATATCAAATCTGTATTTGAATTGTAAAGTGTCAATGAAGGCATTTATGCGCAAATGCAAGGCCTAATGCGATCTGTGAAGGTTTAAAATATATATATAAAGTAACTATTAACATAACTATATTAAATTAGTTACTAGTTATAGAAAAAATGTAACCGAGTTAAGTTACAGTTACAGATGAAGCGAAAGTAACGAAGTTAAGACTGGTTTACAATACATGGAGTAAGCTGGAGTAAGGAAATAAATCCATTTTATTTCTTACTCCTACTTCAGCTCTTAGGTTTACTCTCGGTGAATCAAAATGCCATCAATCAGTGTTACAAATATTTTAAAAATTAGGCCCGTATTTCAGCTTCCTTACACCAAAAGCTAGAATTGGGCTCTCTCTTACTCCTTACTCCACGTATTGTAGACCAGCGCAGAGTTACCAAGAAAAGTAACTGTAACTTCGTCACAAGTAACGAGTTACTTCCCAACCCTGTATTCTATCAGTTTTATAGTCATATTGATGTACAGCCACATATTGATATACTTCACAGATTTGTGCTTGAAGAGGACCGCAATCCGTACGGTCGAAACGTTGTATATTATTTAAGATTAATAAAATCATGCCAGTTGCGTCGAGGGAAAATTGAAGTTTTGGTTATTTTATTACCGGCGAGCAAAAGTATCAAGTTTGCCGAATGAATTTTCTTCCTTTTTCTGGTTAAATATGTAAATCGATTTCAATTCTTTTCTTACAAAACATTCCCAAGGAGAACAAACAGTCAGGACGATGTCAATTTGATGCCATACTGACCAAATTTATGTCAAATTTTGGTCAATTTGATGCCACATTGACCAAACTTTGACATAAATTTGGCCAATTTGACATCAAATCGACATCATCCCGACTTTTTCTTCTCCTTGGGTTGATACAACCAAATTGTTACGTCACGCGCGGAAGCAAAATTTGACCAATACAGCCGGTGTACATGGAGGTTAGAAGGAGGTTATACGGGGCCGATGTTTCGGAGCGATTCGTTTAATTACCTCATTTAACAGCGCCTCACGCTCTTTCATATGTTGCCTCAAGAGAGTATTCCAATTGTAAAAACCAATTCCCGATCCTAAAACTAGCACGATTAAAAGCTGATCTTTGGTCACTCCTCGTGGCACTCTGAATCTCATGTTGGACCCCACATCGCAGACGACATACTTATATCGGTTTCTAGTGCGTTGTGTGATCACCTTACTTTGCACGTTATCGCAAGAAATTTTGTTTTGAATCGTTTTATAGCGAATTTCGAACGTGCAAAGAAATAAATGCTCGTCATTACAGTAAAAATGTAATCGTTATTTTTTGTTTAGTTGAAACTGTCCAAAGAATTACTTCAATTGAATTGTAGGGAACGTATAAAGTATAATTTGTCACGACATATTTTTTATATATTCCTTAAATAGAATATATTGATGGTTATACAATTAAATTTGTGCAAGGTATAAAGTTTTCTCTTTGGCAATTTCAATGGCAATTGCGTGAATAAGGTATTAAAAAAATAGTGTTATGTATGTTTGCAAAATACTTGACAAGGGTCCAAATCCGGGGCCGAAACGCCGTTGGTTTTTAAATAAAAACACTGGCCAGGGTAGGTAGTTTCCAAAAACTATCATTGGTTTTCTCTTTGTATTCTGTTAATTTTGCTTTTTAAACAAGACAAGTTGGAGTCTCTTAAATTCAATCAAGACAGCAGAGACATTTAAATCTTGCCAGAGTATTTATAAAACTTCTTAAATGTATTCAATTGTACTTTGAAGACTTCCTGCAACGATGCTGGTAATGCACGGGATAAAAACGCAAGTCCATGCTGATCACAGATGCTGATTAATTGACACAGAGATTCGTGCAAAGCAGTCTGCAACAGGTACGATGAACCAGATTGAAAAACACTAATAAGATTAATACTGATTGGAAATAAAGATGGTACCTTGACATAGGACGGTACAGTTCCTTCCACAATCAATTGCAAAAGATCAGCGATTACATAGGGACTCAGTCGGATCATATCTTTCTTCAACTTTACCAGGATGCTTGTAAATCTAAGGGAGAATGTCTATTATTTTCCTACCCAGTGAATTTTGTCAATAAATAACATTCACCAAGAATATACTCTCAATTACATTAACTTTGGTATATTAAATATTTTTTAAATTAACTTACTTTATAATATCGAGCGCAAAACATCTAAATCGATGCTCGTCAAATTGATCGGCCACACTTTTCGATGCGTGGACAACGATATTTACTATATGTCTATACAACAGCAATAAATTAGGTAATCTGTCTGTTATCAAGTCCGTCTTGGTTTTTATCAACGTTCTGCACATAGCGAGCACATCTTCGCACGACGACACATTTGCTTCGTCGAGCGACTTCAAACCGATCAGCGTAATAAGATCGATCGTAATGTCGGGAATAAGCAAATGTTTGGTACCGATTACATCGTGAGATAAACGCAACAGCCCTGACCAATATTCGTGCGGGACATCCAACATTAATACAGTTTTCAACAGATTGTTGATGGCACTCAAACGTACCTTATTACGTTTAACATTCATGTCCGTTTTCATTATACTGCTCCAAATGGTAAATAGATTTAGCCATACTGACTTATCCTTTTGTGACAAGCTATTGATCTGCACGAATAAAAAAATAAATTACAAATGTGCACAAACTGTATTAAATATGTGTGAATAAAGAATATATTGATAAGAGAATATTACTGTCTGATCGTGAAGCAATTTTAAAAGTTCGTGAAATTGTTGTAACTCGGTAGACGCTAATAAAAGTTCGATTAAATTCTTGCAAGGGTGCTTCAACATTGTAGACCATAAATTTCTGATGATCGTATCTTCAATTTCAAACATTTTACGATGTTGTAAAACGATAATAGACAATTGTACACCTTCCTGCAGCAATTTACTATCATTTGTGTTGCTCGAGTGTTCTCTTGCCTGCAAAAGAAATTTATTTTTTAATCGTTTGAATGTCCTCCGTAAATTCGATGCTTGAATGGCAAAAGTGTCACATATAAAAAAAATATAATTTCTTTCACACTAATTACCGTGAACACATTTTTGAGAGCTAATTCAGTGGATCTCTTCAAAGTATCGGTAACCATTTCAGTTTGAAAAGTTACTTTTAACACTGCCGTTAAACATTTCACATCGAAGGCGTCGTTTATATCTTCAGGTAACACTTTTAAAATGGCCCTGGCTAATTTTTTCTCTGCCTTTCTGAAAATGACTTTCTGCTCAGTATCCAATTTTGGTCTGACAGTCTCCATACACTCCAGAACAATGCACATAGCTTCCTTGCATTCAGCACAATTTTTTATGAGATTTTTTAAGGTAGCATACGTTTTCACATTTCGTAGAGACAATTCGCAGGCTTTCGAAAACGCTTTATTTTGCTGTGCTAATTGATTTATTAACAATTTTGGTTCTATGTACTGCAATACGTCAACTCCGGTTTTCTCTAGTAAATCTAGAACATTATTTTTATTGCTTGTATTCATTAGACGTTTCTGCGTTTCAATAATGATCAAATTAAAATTAAGGTTGTACACACATTTTGAAGGAATAAAATTAAATTACCTGAAAATATCACATTGCATAACGCCAATACTTTGTCATTTTTTTCACATTTTCTACTAATGAAGTACATAATCAGGAATATTAACAGTCTTACGTTAGGGCTGAAATATATCGTCGGTAAATGAAGAAATATTTCTAAAATCAATTCAATGTCGAAAGACATTTTATATGTCGTTTCCATCGATTGTTCCTCCGATATCTGTTCTTTTAGAACTTGTAAGACTTCTGACAATTTATTATTATGTCCGTTTTCCATAAACAGCTTCTGAAATTTTATCAGAATACTTAGGATACAAAAATCAGGGGCTGCTTCGCAATTATTAGAGAATCTAAAATTTTTCTGACAGTATATTAAATTACGTGGTATTACTTACAACGTTAATGTGTTCGGTAATGGTTAGTGAAAGACTTTGTCCAATTCGGACAAGAATATGGCTTAAGAGACACATTATAAAGCGCCTGTTCTCTTGTAGGCATTCTTTGTCCAATATGTTCAGCCATTCACGAAAATTCTGCTCGCTCGATGTTATGTCAGCTAATAATAAATACGCAACGTTTGATATCTCTTTGTCATGCAACAAGGAAAGTACATCTGTGTCATGTTTCAAAATACTACTCCAGGAATACTCAAGGCTACCTATTAAACCATGAAGTTTAATAGGTTTGTCTGACATATCTAGTTTCAGTCGATGTAAAATAAGTTTATTCTGAAATTTTAACAGAGAAACATCAGAGGGCGAGCTCTCGCAAGAGTGTTAGAAGATATTCTTTGTTTAAAATTGATCACATTGTGACGAAAATAAAATTTCTTTGTCAAACAAGTAATATTTCTAAAGTTACCATGACATTCTTGCAATTGTCCTCTCCGAAATTGGTAATCCTTTGAATTAACTGTTGCCAGGGATCATCCAGAATCGGAAACGATTGGTTCTTCGTAGCGACATCTTTTAGTATATAATATTTAAACATATTTTGTATCTCGCTCAACGATTGCACCGCGCTTAGTAGTATTAAGATAACGGTTTTGTTATGACTTAAACACAATGCCTTATTAATCAACAGCGATAACGCATTCCCAACTTCATCTAGGCCGTTGGCAAATTTTTCATGAGCGGATAATGTTCTGGTGTATTCAAAAACTTGCATACCATCGAAAAGTATAACGAGCAACTCCACTGTTGCCTTTAATATCAATATATTTTTACCTGCATATTAAAAAGGAGAGGTTTTGAATTATTTTTACATTCCGTTTACCGCACATTCTCTCTGTCATGAAATTAATAATTGTTCAATAATACAAGTACGGTATGTACTTACATGAAGTGTTGGATTGCAAAAGTTCTGCACAATCTGTATTTAAGTAATATATTAATGTTCTTAGAGCCGTTACAGTCTGTGAACTGGAAAAGGTACTAATCGTTCTCGTCAATTTGAGTTTGAATTCATCTGGGAAAAATGTGGACGTGCTCGCTTTATACTTCTTCCCTGTTGCAACGTGCTGCTTCAACGATATTAATAATTGCGAAATAAACTTTTGCTCCCGTCGCAATTTCGTGCTGGCATACAGAATTGCAATCAACAAATTTGTATGGTCGACAGTTTGTTCTTTCAGAAGTATCTTGTTTAAAATGTCAGCGATGTTTTTCTCTATTAATACAGGATTGATATACGCAAGTTGCGCGAGCACTCTATAATGCACAAGCGTTACGTCGTCGAGCGTCAAAATCTCACTTATAAAGCTCTGTAAATACTCGGTCAGTGTGACACCATCTACGGCATTATCAAAATCCAGCGTTACATCATCCAGCAGTTTGAGAAAAGAACTGACGATCTCCCACTTATACCTTCCAGAGGAGTCAATCAGATTTCTGAAGAACGTATCCAACAAAGCAGCGTCCGATTTATAAGCGCCTACCATTGTGCGGAAAATAAACTGGTAAGTTAAAAGATTACTCCGAAGATTCGCCGTCCTTACATGTTCGGACAACACGCAAAATAAATCTGAGAACATCGACTGGTTAAGGTCTCCAATCTGTTTAATTTGTACAGTTTTGCTTCTTCCTAGCAACAACTGCTGGATGCACTTGTACGCCGCTGTACCAAGCCGGTTTTTACTGTCCGTCTGAGTGTGATCAACCAAAGTACACACAGGATACAAGATATCCCGTATAAAAATTAATCTCAGTTCATCTTTCGTAGTAATCGGCTGTTTATATATTTGCATCAGACTCTCGACAGTGCTCATCACAGCATCGTGCTCTACAGGCGACAATTTACACGGGGCAAGCAGTTGACCGCATTCCTCTCGAGTCACACTGCCGCAGCCGGAACGTTTCAACACGCTGTTCAACAGTGCTTTCGCTAATAGGCCTAGACTCTTCGGCTTGTTCGCAAAATATTGCCGCATACTCTTATTGATGAGAACTAATCTGCAGCATTCGAGGACCGCCCCATATATGTTTTCCATATCGCTGTCTAAGGTTTGTACGAGCATGTCGATTAAACGTTGTTTCGCATCGGCCCTAATATTGATATGATGAATCCCTAAACAGTTATTTAAAGACTGCCAAGCATGTTGATGCGTGGCGCAACTTTTGCACAGCCACTCTAGGAGCAAGCCCTCGCGCCGGACAAGCGGTAAATCCACCGCGCGAAACGCAGTTTCCGCTAATTTTAATCGTTTCGTCAGAGGATAGTCATCCGAGTTCAATCGCTTTAATAGTTCTGCAAAATATGTAAGTTGCATTAAAAAGATTCCTCGGCGAAGGACGCATAAGTATCGTTAAGACAGATTGTAGGGTGTGCAGTCACGTGTCGACGCACGTCCTAAAGACTCGCAGGGACCATTTATTTTATTTACCTCTGGACAACGCCATTGTCAACAATTTATAACACTTTTTTGCACTGTTCCGCAGTACTCGTCACGCATATATTTTAAATAACAAACGTAACTATCGAGCCTATCGAGTGAAAAAAAATATATATATATCACAAGAGTTTTGAGGTTAGCTTCATGCTTATGGGAGTAGCATGGAGGAAAGCATGGAGGAAAGCATGGATTAAGAAGACTAGAGACCAGGAGAGTAAACTCCAGTGGTGGGGATATGCGAAAATATGGTCGCATTTCATGGGCGCTGCTCGCAATACGGTCACAGTATAACCAGTAGTGGCACTCGCTC